GCATGGAGGCACTACAGGAGACAGGCCAGTACATCAGGCGACGTGGAGGAGGCCATAGGAGGGCAACAACCCAGCATCAGGACCGCTACCTCCGCCTTTATGCAAGGAGGGACAGGAGGAGCACTGCCAGAGCCCTGCAAAATGACCTCCAGCAGGCCACAAATGTGCATGTGGCTGTTCAAACAGTCAGAAACACTCCATGAGGGTGGTATGAGGGCCTAATGTCTACAGGTGGGGGTTATGCTTACAGCCCAACACTGTGCAGGACATTTGGCATTTGCCAGAGAACACCAAGATTGGCAAATTCACCACTGGCTCCCTGTGCTCTTCACAGATGAAAGCAGGTTCATACTGAGCACATGTGACAGACGTGACATGGTCTGGAGATGCCGTGCAGAATGTTTTGCTGCCTGCAACATCCTCCAGCATGACCAGTTTGGCAGTGGGTCAGTAATGGTGCAGGGTGGCATTTCTTTAGGGAAGTGCAGAGCCCTCCATGTGCTCGCCGGAGGTAGCCTGACTGCCATTAGGTACCAAGGTGAGATCCTCAGACCCCTTGTGAGACCATATGCCAGTGCGGTTGGCCCTGGGTTCCTCCTAATGCAAGACAATGCTAGACCTCATGTGGCTGGAGTGTGTCAGCAGTTCCTGCAAGACGAAGGCATTGATGCTATGAACTGGCCTGCCCGTTCCCCAGACCTGAATCAAACTGAGCACATCTGGGACATCATGTCTCGCTCCATCCACCAATGCCACATTGCACCACAGACTGTCCAGGAGTTTGGGGATGCTTTAGTCCAGGTGTGGGAGGAGATCCCTCAGGAGACCATCCGCCATCACATCAGGAGCATGCCCAGGTGTTGTAGGGAGGTCATACTGGCACGTGGAGGCCACACACACTACTGAGCCTCATTTTGACTTCTTTTAAGGACACTACATCAAAGTTGGATCAGCCTGTAGTGTTTTTTTCCCCACTTTAATTTTGAGTGTAAGTCCAAATCCAGACCTCCATGGGTTGCTAAATTTGATTTCCATTGATAAATTTTGTGTGATTTTGTTGACGGCACATTCAACTATGTAATGAACAAAGTATTTAATAAGAATATTTCATTCATTCAGATCTAGGATGTCTTATTTTTGTGTTCTCTTTATTTTTTTGAGCAGTGTATAAGAAAAGTTTTAATAGTGTTCAGCTATCTTTCAGCATTGTCATTTGGGTACTTTTACTGTTTTATGTGTGTATGAAATGTGCTTGCCTTGGTTTTCAAGCAAACATTGAAACTACGATGTTTGGAACACCAGAATATCAGTAATAACCAACAATTATAAAAAATTTTTTAACATTTTTGAATGTTAAAGAAATATAAAAAGATTCTCAAAATCCATCTGAAATTTTCAGTAATATCTCATTTGGACTTTCTGTGGAATATGAACCATCGCCATAAACTTTTCTTCATATTGTAAACATTCCATAAAAGGCATTTTGACACTATGATATTCTCATAGTGTATGATATACTTGCAATAACCATCCCACTACATGCAGATAGTCCTCAACTTACAAGACCATTTATTGACCATTCACAGTTACAACAGCACTGAAAAAAGTGACATGACCATTTTTCACACTTATGACCATTGCAGCATCCCTGGTCGTGTGATTTACATTCTTGACAACTGATTCACATTTATGATGGTTGCAGTGTCCCAGAATTATGTGAGACCCTTTTGTGACCTTCTGACAAGCAAAGTCAATGTGGAAACCAAGTTTACTTAACAACCATGTTACTAATTTAAGAACAGCAGGAATTCAGTTAACAAATGTGGTGAGAAAAGTCATAAAATGGGGCAAATTCACTTAACAAATGTCTCACTTAACAACATAAATTTGGGGCTCAATTGTGGTCATAAGTTGAAGACTATCTGTATTTTTTCTGTTTATGGTTGTTCCTCCATCATATATATATATGCACATTAAATGTAATTTTAAATTCCGGAGATTGCAGGATGTCTGTTTCTTCTTTTACACACACACACATACACACAACCACCACCCCCGCAAAAAAATACTAATATTTAGCTTCCACATTGAAGCTCTCTCTGTATAGGTAGTCCTTGACCAATGACCACAATTGGAACCAGAATTTCTGTTGCTAAGCAAGGCAATTGTTAATTGAATTCTACCCAATTGTACAACCTTTTTTGTCATGGTTGTTAAGTGATCACTGCAGTTGTTAAATGAGTTACTCAGTTATTAAGTAAAACTGCCTTCTCCCATTGACTTGGTTAGTTGGCTGGTAAGGTCACAAATGGTGATCACATGATCCTCCATGCTGCAACTGTCATAAATACATACCAGTTGCTAAGTGCCTGAATGTCAATCAAATGACACTGGAAATATTGCAATAATGGTTTAAATGGGAGGATTGGTCATAAGTCACTTTTTTTTCATTGTCATGGTAACCTTTAATAGTCGCTAAACGACTGTTAAAAGGTCAGATACTATCTGCATCCTAATGTAGACTTTGGATTTCTTTATTTTGAAGACCCTGCTGAATTTCCCAACATCACAAATAGTTGTTTTTACTCAGTGAAATGTGCTTTTGATATGCCTGTTTGAGAGGAAGTCTGCTCAAATGGAAATTTGGTGAGCACTGGGATATAACGATGCTGCTATTTAAGTTCCAACCAGTATTTTTAAAGCATAGGAATGTCATTTAAATTCATATTTATTTGTGGCTGCAAAAGCAGAAATGGATTGAGTCTTTGGGCTTTTTAACATTTTTGAAAGTAGTTTCAGAATAACCTCCTCTTGAACCTTCATGTGAAGGAAGTGAAAATAGAATAAAATACAGTGCAAATCAGCTAATACTGTTCATCAAATATATTGTATGTAGCTACTAAGTGAGGCAAGTTCTTTACTCCCACTTCAGTTTTTCAGAACGTTACATAGAATGTCATTGTTTAACTCAGCCAGTTCCAAGAGTTTTACATATAATATCTGTAAAAATCATATAGATATAAAATGAATTGCTGTCACTGAAACCACAGCCCTCTCCACTTTTCCTCATATTTCTTTTTTTGCTGTGTTGAAGGTTATGATAGACATGTAAGCCTTTCCAAAGTACACCTCACATGTTTTAAGTGCTAAAAGGAAATCGATATGAGAAAATATCTGTAAATTCAACTTTAAAAAAAGAATCCTTTTGTTCCTTAAAAACCTCATAAAGTAAAAATAAGTAGTTGTAAAGAACTTGTCTTTCAGTCATATTTGTGGAAGACCCAGTTAATAATTTGATAATTACATGGTCCAATGTAATTTGATAATTTGATAATTACATGGTCCAATAATATGTAGCTAAATGCATAGTTTGCTGTGGAACTGAAGTAGCCAATAGTTTTATTCAAGAGTATAAAACCATGAAACTCTACTGATAGTATTGTAGCTGTTTCTCGCTAGAACTGGAGATTGAGACAAATAAAAACTATTCTCCAAGTTGCAAGTCTAGCTTGATTTACAGCAGGCCTCCTATCCTGATGAACAAAGTTCTATTGTACAGAGGTGCCAATTCAGCAGCTTGCCAGGCATTCAGATCACTGGCATTTATTTTGGTGTTTCATAAGCTAATTCAGTAACTGCTAGTTTTAACCGGCTGTTCAAAGTAGCATGGCAAAGGATACTGTAGCTGAAACTTTTCCAAAGTATAACACTTCTTTCAGGGATGGGTCCTGTTTTGTAAAATTGGAAGAGAAAAAAGAACGAAGGAGATTAAATTGCCTTCGGATTGAAAACTAAGCAAATTTAGAATTGTGGTCTGATAATAGTTTGGATTTTTCTGTTTCTTCCCCTTCTAAGTCATGTGAATTTTGTAAGTGGAAAAAGTTAGAGGTTTATCAAACAGAAGATAACACAGTGGAACACTTTTCAGCAGTTGTTTATCTTTTGCCAGTTTTAATGCTGATCTGTGTGCCTAAACGGGATGAAAATAACAGTGGTAGGAAAATACAGTAGCTAGAATCAGTTACTCTTATAGATGTATCATCCCTAGGTGACTTCTGTTTGTGCAGAAAAAACAAAGTTCTGATAGGAACGTTACAAGCAAACTAGCTTTTCTTTCTTTCGGCCAGAAAAGTACTTACACTGTGAACTTAAGAAGTCTCCACAGTTTTCAACAGGGGAACTGTGGAGACTTCTTAAGTTCACAGTGTAAGTACTTTTCTGGCCGAAAGAAAGAAAAGCTAGTTTGCTTTGTAACGTTCCTATCAGAACTTTTCTTTTTCTACACAAACAAAACTTGGTTTCTGAATGTATCGGTGTCAACCTTGAAGATGGCCTACCTCTGGCCATCTTCTTTTTTGTAGCTTTCCTCAAAGGAGGTTTCTTTTCGCATTGCTTCAGGGCTGATACAGCCTGGAGCTAAGGGGCAAGGAGGGCAGTATAGAGATAACTGGCATATTGTAGACAGAATAAAATTATTTCCCCTGGGAGTCAAAGATATTCGTACAGGTATTCAAAAAGTGGAGACTGAAGACACCCGACAACTGGACTATATTATGATTGGACCATGTGACTGGTGATTCTGGGGGGGGGGGGGAGGGGGTAAAGTTTTACTTTTAATTGGGTGTAAAACCGGCAGGGATGTAGAGCTGGTTTTCCACCAACTTTGTGCCAATTTGATATGTCCCAATAAAATGTTCTTTGAGGAATATGCCTGCCTTGGAGTTCTCATTGTTGGGGATGCATTACTTGGAACCTTAACATCAAGTATGTCAGACAATAAAAATTTAGGCTGTTTTTCAAGTAGAAAACAGAAAAGCATGAGAGGGTGGGGAGTCATCTATAAAATCGGAAAACGAAGTGAGTACATTGAATTCAGAACTGGTGTAGCATGTACCCTTCTAATTTTAACCCTTGTCAACAATTTGCAGGCACTATTTTCAGAGCGATTATCAAGCCTAAGATGACTGTTGCTTAGCACCTTTATTTTCTTGTTCTGGCAGATGCCTATTCCACCTCCTCCAATGAAAATGGAGCAAAATCTGATTCTGTGGCTAATTTACAGCCCCACACGTCCCTCAATTCCATCCAGAGCTCCCCTGGTCCAAAGCGTTCAACCAACACCCTGAAAAAATGGTTGACGAGCCCTGTACGTCGACTGAACAGCGGGAAGGCTGACAGCAACATCAAAAAACAGAAGAAAGTACGTGAAGGAAGGAAGAGCTTTGACCTAGGATCTCCCAAGCCTGGAGATGAAACCACACCTCAGGGAGATAGCGCCGATGAGGTACAAGTACACTTAGCCTTTTTCTTTTTAAAGAATACTAACTTGAGCCTAATATTTTCATTTCTGCTATTCTGCTTTTCAATAGCTGATTAATAAACGTGATTGACAGTCTAATCTAGACTTCATTCACACACCCTTTTTACCCCAGTGCCAGGTTTACCAGGCACAGTCTTTGTCTCAAGAATCTGAAGCAAGTGGTTCAATAGGGAAGTGGGTTTTTTTCATATGGAAAACAAAAGAAATGTCTATGTGAACATTCTGGTTTGGGTAGAGGAGGAGTTTCAAGGATTTTAGTGACCCGAAAAGCTCCAGTTGGATTGCTGCAGGACCATTCCCACTCCACGCCTACTTTGGAGTCTACAATAGCAATAGCACTTAGACTTATATACCACTTTATGGTGCTTTTACAGCCCTCTCTAAGCAGTTTATAGAGTCAGCCTATTGCCCCCAATAATTTTGGTCCTCATTTTACCCCACCCCCCTTTAGAAGGATGGAAGGCTGAGTCAGCCTTGAGCCTGGTGAGATTCAATCTGCCAAATTGCAGGCAGTTAGCAGAAGTAGCCTGCAGTACTGAACTCTAACCACTGCGCTACCGTGGCTCCATTCCCATTTCTGCTTTACATGACTGGAAAGCACAGGACCTCCCCAGTAACCAACGTTCTCTTTTCCGCTCTTTCTTAAGCTGAAGTAGGAACAATAATTTTCCGGAAGGTGTTTCACAAGATTGCTTTTTCTACCAGTGACCTCTGCAGTGTTCTTTTTCTTCTCTCCAGAAAGTATGGAGCCTTGCTATAAAGGAGAAGCAGCAGCTTCCCTGCAGCTACTGTTTCCCCAACACCTTCAAAGCAGTCTTGAACAGCCATAGTCCCATCCTCATGTGACGTTGGCCCCGTTTTACAAGCGTGGCAGGAACACTGTATGGGTAGTGATTTTCGAAGTGGTGTGTTTTCTTCCTGCCTTAAGCATTTCACTGAGCATGAGGGAGGGGGAAACCCAGTTCAACGCTGAGATTGGAAATGGATGACAGGAACTCGGTCAATTGCCCTTTTATTGCTGTGAATATTACTCGAGTGAAGCAATGAGTAGCTCTTATGCAATGGAAGTAAATGTGTGAAAATTCATTCTCCCATACACTATTGTCTTATTATAATACATTTTGGCTCCATGTGATGGGGTGACTTGAGACTTACCCTTTTGCAAATAGAAGATTCTTATAGAACAGGGATCTCAAACTCACATCATCATGGCACCCTCACGTGACATATTGCAACTTTTCCTCCTTCCCCTTTGCTAAACTGGGCGTGACCAGCATGTGACACACCTGGCCCGCGGGCTGCGAGTTTGACGGCCCTGTTATAGGAGGACGGTGGTAGAACAGTGCGGGCTTGTTGTTGTTTCCTGTTATCCATCACTATGTCCCACGGTATTCTCCAAATCCTCAAGAAGACTGTAGGGGGAGTTGCCTTCGTCAGGGAGAAGCAAGAATTCATTCATTTATTTGTTTTTTGTATACTGAATTCAAATTGATTTTAATATAATGAAACATAAAACTGATTTCATTTTTCTGTGAGGTTTTCTTTTCTTTTTTCCCCCATCCTTGGTCCTATTTTTTAGACCACTTTTTTTTTCCTTTATCTTGTTCACATCTTTGTAAACACGATTCTCTTGCTTTCAGAAGAGCAAGAAAGGTTGGGGTGAAGATGAACCAGATGAAGAATCTCATACACCACTTCCTCCTCCAATGAAGATTTTTGATAATGATCCTACACAAGATGAGATGGTAAGGCTCTAACCTACATTTCTCCTTGGCATAACTTCATTAAAAAGAAAAGGTGGGGGGAATTCCATTAGGATCTAAAGCATCAAGTTTGCTATATGTGGTTTTGTTTTATTTGTTGATGTTTTCCTAGAAAAAAAAATGGAACCGAACCATCTACTTTCAAAATCTTAGTGATAAAGTATATTTGTGTATTGATGTCCATTTCCTGCTAAGTCTTATAATTTATCCTGTCTAAATTTGTAGTTTGAGGGATTTTTTTACATTCATACTTTTTATGGGTATTAAATGATGCTTTTCATTTATTTTGTTTGGACTTTTGGACTTCTTAGCAGTCAGATCTCTTCATAGTTTATTAAAGTTCAGTCACCAACCAAGAACATTCTGAATACAGTAAACTCTTCTGAATTCCATTATAGGGAAAACGTTGAGTTCACTTTGGGCATTATTTTATTACCATCTTCTTCCATAAATAGAGTAATTTTTAAAGTCATATCCAAATGTTTCCCTGCTACAACAACAACAACAACAAAACACAAGGAAAGGATTGCTTTATGGAAGCGTATTTTCTCTTATTGACCTTGTCAGGGGGAATTCTTAAACTTTAGTGAACTTCTTTGGATCCAAAGAAAAGTATCTGATAACAATTATTTTATAGCAGTTAATACTCGAGTGGTCTTGAACAACAGCTCTCATCATCTCCCAACTTGTTTGAAGCTACGTGTATTCCACCATTCTCCTTTTGTATATTACTCGTATCTTCTAGTCATTAATTTTCTTTTGCTTCAGTTATCTAGAATTGATTGTCAACTGGCAGAAGTCTGTCTTATTCTTCCCTTGAGCATTTTTTTAATAAATATGTCAAAATGATCTATTTTTCATATGAAACCTTTTTAGTTATTCTTTATCTAGTAATTCATGAGTCATCCTGCATTGTGAGAAGTAAGATAATAATTCCGCAACAACTTTTCTAACAAATCAAAAAGTAAGTTATTGATTCAGAATTTACCATAGATTTGTGAGAAACAGCGGAAGGACTATGTAATTTTTTCTCCTGAAGGCTGATTTCTTATCCTTTCTCCCCATAATCTGCTTCTTATTGGGAGGAGGTAATAATTAATAACCATGCCTTTATTTGGAGCAATAAACTGTTAGAGAAGCTCATTTTGTTAGAATGTTCTACAGAGAATGCCTCTTGCTCTTGGATTACAACTTCCCGATATAGTTTTCAGCTTCCTACAGCTCTTTTGATTGCAAGCAAATAAAAATACTTCTGTGGTATCGAATACCACAAAAACTTTAATGTTTGGAATTTGTATTTTCATGGATTGCTAAAGATTGGAGCACTTCATTTATAATCTAGACATGTTGCATAACTTCAGGGAGAGAAAGCCAATAGAGCAGTATTTACTGTCTTTCTGATCAGAAGACAGAAGAACAGTCAATGTTCTGGATTTTTCTTGACTTGGAAGGATTATATGTCTGAGTTCATGCAACATATAAAGTCATAAAGTAATTGGTTGCGTTCATTCAGCCACTGCAGTTTGCATACCATGGTTTATGGCTTAGTGTAGTATTTGCAGAAGTGGTATTCTACCGGTTCGGACCGGTTCTATAGAACCAATTGTTAAAATTCTGCACAGTTCGGAGAACCAGCAAATCGTTCCCCTGGCTGGCCCCACCCCTCTCCACCCACCCTTCCCCACCCAGTCAGTCCTTATCGTGCATGCACGACATCGTGCACATGTCTGACATTGCTGACTGCATTCTCCCCCACCCAGTCACTCCTTAAGGTATTTCTTTTTTTTCCTCCCAATGACCAGCTGTTCCAACGATCAACTGTGCTGGGAATGGGTGTGGCTGTGGTGGGCGTGGCCAGCTCGACGTCACTCATGTTAGGGTGCCTGTGGTGGCCCAAGCTCTCTGCCAGTGAAAATGGGTTCCTGAGCTCCATTTTCAGCTGCAGTGGCCTCCTGCAACCTGCTGCTCATGGCCCTCCTAAGCTCCATTTTTGCTGGCAGAGGCATCGTGGACCGGTCCTTCGCTATTTCCAGGGCAGCCCTCTGGGCCAGATCTAAGCATCCTGTGGGCTGAATCCGCCCCCTGGGCCTTGAGTTTTACACCCCTGATTTACACATTCAGAAACCATGTATGTTACTACTTGAAAAGTAGCAGACAAGTAAACAGAATATATGAATTGGAGAGTAACTGCTTCAAACGTTACTCTCTCAAGGTAGAAAATGAGTGGGAAGCAATTCTGGATATATCTAATGTTCTGTGAAGTGTTGCCCACAAAAACTGTAGCATGAACTGAAGCTATTTTGCTTTTTTTTTGTAGATTCTTGTTCGATAGGTTTAGTGGAATAAAGATGGAAGCAGCTGACATTCTTATCACTCTTCCTCACTCATGTTTTCAAAGATGTCAGTGGAAAGAAGTAACTGTCTTAAGTCCTTTTTTTGTTTTTAATCTTAAATTATATATTGAATATCTAGCAGCATTCAGTAATCGTGCATAGTACAGAAAGATTTTTGCAGATAAAATACATACCAGACTAGAAATACAATTAGCTTGATTCAACTCTTTCCTTCTGCTACTTAAGTATAAAAATGAACACAGTAAGAAGAGAAATACGTGTACTATATAGGCTGAGAAGAAGCAAAGCCTCCTTCTTGCCCACATCCCCAAATACTTTACATAAGTAGCATCTGTTGGTTTAGAAGAACACTATTGACATCTTGAATTATGTAAGCAAGAAGAAACCTGTTCTCTAGGGCATTTTTATGTTGCGTTTTGTAGAAAAAAAAACCTCGAACCATCATGGGCATAAATTCTAATCGTGGCTTCAGAACTGGGGTTTCTTTTGAGGGGAGAACGCCAGTCTGTTGCTGAGTTCTGTGCCTTGTATATGTCATGGTCTTTCCCTTCCCCCATAAGCTCTTCATGCTTCCTCCATGTTTCCCCTGCTTTAAACCTAATGTATGACCTCAAACTGCTAACCGCTTTCCTCGTCTCATTCCTGCTAACCTCCTGTTCCTTTGCAAACTGGTGTCTTGCAGTCTTCCTCTTTGCTAGCTTCTCGACAGACCAGCTCTGATGTGCCAACTGCTGCGGATCTTGTCAGTGCAATAGAAAAATTGGTCAAAAGCAAGCTGGTAAGTGTAGACACCTGAGATTGACTGGAGAACGCTATAGCCTAGCTACATGGAAAGTCAACTAGTCTCTTTGCTATCCGACCCTGCTTTTCTCATCTTCGTTGTTCTGCACATTTGAATATCCAACCAAACGTGTTCTATAGTCCTTTTAGTTATAAACTGAGTTAACATCTTTGTAAAATGGATCAATGCTGACTTACATACTGTGTGCGTTATTTGATAAGCCTCCAGGCATGTGTTTGCAGCTTTCTTGTCACCACAACCTTTTTGAAGTGAAAAAATGTCAGTGTGACCCGATATAAAATGCACTGAAGTGCTGTCATGAAAATGTTCTCAAGCATGTTAGTTGTTTTAAATGTTTGCTATCGTTGATGCTTATTGTTTCATGTATGGTAGTCACATCTTTTTTGCCTTTATAGAGTTAGTTCTGGAAACTGGTTCAAAGATATTTGGCATTGTTTATGAAGCTATATATTCATTTTAATGTTTCACCTTCCGTTAAAGAACTCCACTTTATGTATAGATGAAGTCTGTATAATGCAATGAGGAACGTGAACAGGAACAAAAATCTTAGCTAAGAATGTTTAGTAACAACCTTTCTTGAACAGAATAAAAGAGCTCCAAAGACTGTGTTTAAAACTAAACAGTATTACATGATGCTTTTTAATAATTAAACATTACAAATAACTCAGCTAGCTGAAAGAAAAGTGACAGAAACTCAATATTGAGGCTGGCTATAATATACCAATTTGTTTTAATTTGATTCCTTTCAAAATTAACTTTGTGCCTATGGTTTTATATCAGCCTTCTACTTTCTTCCTTTTTCGTGTATCTAGATTTCTGCTCAACATTTTGACCTGTTAATCCAATTTTCTGTAATTTTTGTGAACTGGGAAACAGTCGTTTAATCTCTGCTTATAGATAGGCATCTGATCCTGGGAGGAAAAATGGATTATCTGTTTAATTAGAAGAATTGCTATTCAGACAACACTCCTGTTATGCTAAAAACCGTTTTCCTATAGCATTAAACAAATACTGAAATATTTTATTCATGATTAATTATAATAAATCTAGAATATCAGGAAAAAATAATAAGGTAATGTATTGTCTAGTTAGTAGTTATAATTTCTAGTTTAATCTTTTGTCTTTTTCCCCTCCTTCGTTTCTTAAGACATTGGAAGGGGGCTCCTACCGAGGAAGCTTAAAGGATAGTACTGGATGTTTGAATGAAATTGTGACACCTTCAACCCCTCCTTCAAGAAACCTTGAAGAGGAACAAAAGGCCAAAGCAATGAGAGGCAGGATGTAAGTTAATTTGTTATTGATCTGTTTTCCAACTCTATATCTGATGCCATCTACCACTAGTAGCTTAGAAATTTGTGTGGAAAGAAACTCCCTCTCCAGCGCCAACCCATATTAATGAGAGAAATTTGTTTATTCTTAGATTTTTATCCTGTCTTTGTTATTTTGTAAGTAACTTGAGGCAGTAAACATTCCTAATACTCCTTCCTACTGCTGTTTTCCCCACAGCAGCAATCATCATGCAAGGTAGGTTGGGCTGAGAGAGACTGGCCAAAAGTCATCCAGCCAGCTTAAATGACTGAGGTGGCACTAGAATTCATGGTCTCCTGGTTTCTAAGCTAGCACCTTAACTATTATACCAAACTGGCTCTCATCATGGATTTGATATATCCATAAGTGGAGAGGAGAGCACATTTTATTCTGCTAGGAAAAAAAAACTATTTGTATAAAATTGAGTGGAGTCTAAAATGTATACATTTGTAAGAGTGATAATATCAGAATCAAGTACTGTAGGACAAAAAAAGTGTAGACATTAGCCAGCATGTTCCTTTTACCCATTGGCCTTGCCTTGGTTCAATTAAAAGCGTGCTGAAGACATAAGACATTCAAAAGCAATCACTTCTGCTGAACACAATGGGAGCAATCTAAACCTAGTTCTTCATATATTTTTTATTTATACATAATAAGAAAGTCAGTAGAAGAGGAGTTTGCTTTCAGCCAGCTTCTATGACCTGGCCTTTTTTTCTTCTCAGCTCATCTTCTCATTTTCAAATTCAGCACTGTTCAGAATTTCTTGCTTAATGGGAATTGCATTATTGACTAATTAGTCACACTACTTTAAGATTGATTTTGGTCAGTGCTTAGAGTAGAGGCCTTGTGAAACCTATATACACCTCTTTTGAATTCTAGGTTTGTTCTAAATGAACTGATACAAACAGAGAAAGACTATGTCAAGGACTTAGGAACTGTGGTGGAGGTAAGTCAAAATAAATTAGTTTAGATATAAAGGTTAATATTGTATTCAGTAAAAGGTTAATATTGGAAATTTTTAAATCACAATCTAATTAATACTGACTTTTTGCAAGCCATTCTAAATATTCTTAAAAGCTAGACTCATCTAAACAAGTTGTCAACAAGTCCTTAAGGCTCGTCTAAACTTGACATATCTCTAAAATATTAATAAAGGAACGAACAGAGCCTTGATATCTTGCATGTAAAGATCTGCTATTACAATGAGTAGTTGATTTTGTTTGCTTGAAAAATGAACATTATTACTGGTCATATTCCAGTCTCCCATTGCTCAATCATTCTTTTTTTTTTTCCTTTATCAAGGGATTTATGAAAAGAATAGAAGAAAAAGGTGTTCCTGAAGATATGAAAGGAAAAGACAAGATTGTGTTTGGAAACATTCACCAGATCTATGATTGGCACAAAGAGTAAGTCTACACTCTACTATAAACAACTAATGTTCAATTGTACAATATTGTGTGTGTGTGTGTGTGTGTACTTTGACCAGAGTCATTGCTTTTCCCTTTCTTCTCTCATTTGCATACAACCCAAATATCCAGCTATAGATCCACTCCTGGCTGTATTCTAAGTGCTTTCTGTAGACATTCTATATATCCACATTTTCTGTGCTTTCTGATAGAACGTGTATATGTTTTGGCATGAGACATAAATGCATATCCCAATGGTCATTCTGCTTTTATTTGGTTTCTTTCAAACTTTTCTCTCCACAATTCATTTTTGATGTTACTAAATAATGGCTTGTCCTACATTCAGAACATCTTACTACCTTTGTATCCTTCATTCATTTTCACAATTTTGTGGTAAACTGTTAAATCACTTGTGCCTTTTGCTCCATTTTTTCCCATCTGCACATATGTATAATTAGACTTATGCTTCAGGCATGTATTTGAAACACAGAGAGTGATTTTAAGCATATGCTGACCAAAAAGTTATCATTGGCATTCATTCCTTGGTCATTCCCATCCATCTGTTCTATCACCTCATAGCCTTTGGTTGCATTTGCCTTGGGTTGCATTCATTTTTTGCCTTGAGTTGCATTCATGTAGAATGGTGCACAGATTCCCTCCAAATTCACCCGTAGGTCCTCCAGGATCTTCATTCATCAGACAATCACAGATCTATATGCTCCTGCTTGCAGATGCATCCATAGCAACCTAGATGATACATGTTTTTTTATAATTTCATTATTTAATTATCACAAGGAAGTATTCCACTTTATTGTGTGTATTCTTCAACTCAATTTCTCAAGATTAGGCTACCTGAATTTAGATCTGTTACATTCCTCCCTTCCCTTAATTTCACAGACAAATGAAATATGTATTTTTCTTCCCTTCACTTGCTAATTCATGGTTTTTAGTGTGACATTACAGACAGACTAAAGTCATGGCAGTTTTCCATATGTCATGATCAAAACCAGATAAATCCATTGATACTGAAATCTACTACCCATCATGGATTTGGTTAATACGGCTTTCATAGAACATTATTAGTAGCCGTATTCCAACCTGCCATTGCACTGATCTTCGTTCTCTCCATCTAGTTTGTATATTTTAAATATTTAGTGATTTTTTTTTATTTTTAATGATAACTTTTGTACATTTTTCTAAAGATTGACTTTATGTATTCTGTCAATGTAGTTTTATAGTACTACAGAATTAGCTCATCTATTTGTGATTCTTATCTGATTTACTGTAACTAACATACAGGGAAAACATTGTTCCAGAACTGCCCCAGTTCTTCTTTAGCTGTTGGCATTAGCTGAAGAAGATTATGACTTATTTTTTAAAAAAAACAAGGGTTGCTATTGTGTGGTATTTACTGTTCTTTTGTCGCTGGAATTATAATCCTGGCCCTTTCTGTTATTTAAAACTGTGTCATGTAAGGATCAATAGGATTTTGCATTTTTAAACAATATTTATTTTAAGACATTAAGGACTGCCAGTTGGAATTAATTGTTGGCATGACAACTGTCTGAAATGTGAGTAGAGTGATATTTGCAAGGAAATTCAACATTCAGATGAGGCTACAATTTATAGGAGGGTGCTATCCGGAAAGACAGAGAATAAAATCAGGATTTAAGGGAGAGGAGTTTGTAAACCAGAGCCCCTCTTTCTGTTGGATCCTTTGGCTAGAATTATGTGTAGTTATCATTGTCTTGAAAGAACACGGCTTTGCTATAGTTATTTTACCATATTTTTAATCATTTAGTAAGCATAATATGTAATAAAAGTTAAACAAAAATAAAAAAGAAACAAGCTGTGTATATTTGAAAGGGGTTGCTCTAGGGCAGGGCTGTCAAACTCATGGCCCATGGGCTGGATACGTCACGCTCTGGCCACGCCCATGCCTGGTTTAGCGAAAGGGGGAAAAGTGATATGTCATGTGATGACGTGAATTTGACACCTCTTCTCTAGGGATATACAGTACAGGTGATCCTTGGGTTGGGACCGTAATTCCCATCATTAACAGTGTGGTCATAAAGCATGACATCACATGATCACATTGCTTTGCCACAACAATTTTGGCAATCCCAATTGCTGTTATAACCTCAAAACTAAGCAGGTCATTAAGCAAGAAGTGACAGGATCCAGACCAGGAATGTAGGAGGGTGCTCCGACAGGTTGGGTGTTTGGAAACATTCACCAGATCTATTGGTGCTCCGATGGGCCATGCTAGAGTATGGGTGGATGGGTGGGGGCTGTGCCTGGCCACTGCAGAGTAGGGGTTGGTCAGCGGGGGCTGTGAATTGGCACTACATAGGGCTAGTGGGGTGACAGGAAGGCACTTCAGAGTGTACATTTCACTTGTTCAGCACTGTCATAACTTTCAGTGCTTGCTGAACAAGTACCTGTAACCTGAAGATTGCCGGTACTCAGTAAGAATATCATCCAAACAAGAACCAATATCATGAAAAATAAGGAGAGAAATTCATTACCTAAATTGATCTTTATTCCGTAACCAAAAGTAGCTAGGACTGATTTAGGCCTTCTTGAGTAGAGGGTATATATATTTGAATTTTTTACTTGATGTGTAGCATTACTAGGAAGGTCTGATTCAGTCCAAACACATTGAGCTACAGAATAAAAACCAATTTTAATAGCAACCAGATTTTTATCTTAGTTGATAAACCAACAATTTATGTATTAATTAAATTTATTAATATATATTAAATGGCCTTTTACCAGTAATAAGAAATATTTTACCAAAACATTTTGCTACGTTTCTTCTCTTATTTAACTGTTTTACTTTGTAAAGGAAACTTGTCTTATAAATGCTTCTTCCACATAGGAACAATTAACATTCTACTTGTTAATAGCAAGATCGTAATGAAAGTCAAGTTATAATTTCTATATATTTATTTAGATTCCCCCCATAGCATTTACTGCCCAAATTGAGTCAAAGATAAACGTAACAAGAATATTATTATTGGGAGGGAGATTTGGGGTGGATCCAGATAGCCATTTATTATATACTCACATGAATGATATTAGAAAAATTATCTGAACATTAGCAAAATAACAGATTAAGTTTTCAGAGATAACTAGTGTAACATCAAGTTTATTTTCTAATTATAGAACTATACAATGTGCTAATGGGGCATAATGGAAAAGAGAGAAAAGAGATTTTGAGCATAGTTTGCCTATTTTATATTGCAGTTTTTTTCTTGCTGAACTGGAAAAATGCCTTCAGGAACATGACCGTTTAGCACAGCTGTTCATCAAACATGTGAGTTACAAGTTAGACTTTTCTTAGAAATTAAATGCATTTTATATTTGCTCAGTTTACGGCATCATTTTTAAAAGATATCAGATAAGAATTACATACTCGAGGTCATGATATTCTGATTTTCCATGAGTTATAAAAATACACTATTTCATACGTTTTTATTTTCTAGATATAAGCATGTTTTAATTTCAGTCGTAATACAAGAATGCTATGCTTTGCTTAGCATTTTCTTACCATTTAAACAAAATAGTAAAAAAGGAGTCTTTGCTGGACATTTAACTTACCTAAACTAAAATGATTACACATAATGTTTAGGTTTTTCTTCCTAGCTATACATAGTCTTGTCATTGTGTTCAGGATACAGGTCTACAAGGAAAAAAATATCCAGTGATATATAGATGTATAAAAACTGAACACACACCTTCAACTTGTACACTCCAGAATCTGTCCTGCAAAAGGTTATCTGAATTGATAGCAATCAGAGTTCGAACCAAGAACTGCAGGGTCACATTTGGAGAAACAAAGACAAAGAGAATCCAACTCTCTCGGTCCTTCTTAATCTCACAGTGACTTTCAGTGCCATCAATCATGGTTTTGTTCTATTCTTACCCCATGGGATTGGAGTGATGTATATCATTCTTCAGTGGTTCGATTTCCCCCCCCCCCAAGAGATCCAATCCAACCTCTGGTGTGTGAGAGAGAGGGGTGGGGGAGAGAGGGAGAGTGAGAAGGAATAGATTCAGATTGAAACTCTGTAAAAAAAGGTGGCTTTGGTTAGTGGCCCCATCTGAATGCTTTCCCCAGCTTATTATCTACATCAGTGGTGACTAACCTTTTTGGGCTCCTGTGCCAAAAATTGTGTGCACGCGTGCATGCTTGCACTCGTGTGCCAGCACCCAGAAAATGTGTGTCCCCCCCATGACCCCTACGCATGCATACATAACCCACCCATCCACCTGGGCACCCCCTTACCTGCACTATGCCTCACAGCGGATTTTCAGCCAGTTTGAGGCCTTTTTCGGCCTCCCAAAGGCTTGAGGAAGGCTTCTGCAGGCTTTGCAGGCCGAAAACTAGCCCTGTTTCATCACTTCTGGTATTTTCAGAAAATAGTTCCCACCACTGGTTCTATGGGTGTGGCTGCAGGGGTGGGATGGCGTGACTCACGCGACTCACATGATTGTGCACATGTGTGCCAAATGCACGCTTTGTGCATGTGTTAAAACAGTAAAAACTAAGCTACTGCGCCTCTCAGCAAACCGCTCTGTCACGCCATTCAGCTGAGAGGTTAAAAAGGACCTAGGAGCAAGGGCGGGCAGGTGGGCCCAACTGCCAAGCATCGGAGAGACTTGAAGCGGACCGGTTCTGATCTTTGGCACTACCAGTACACCAGAACCAGGCCGAACAGGTAGAATACCACCGCAGATTTTATGGCTCTCCTATCATTTTTTTTTTAATTAAATTAGCAGACAGAAAAAAAAAATGTGCAAGTGCATGATTAAATTCATTTTTCAGCTCTGCCCAATAGCTGTGAAAGTTGTAACATCAGCTAATTCTAAGAGAGCTGTGTATTTGATTTTTTACAGGAGAGGCGATTACACATGTACGTGGTATACTGTCAAAACAAACCAAAATCAGAATATATAGTAGCTGAATGTGGTACATATTTTGAGGTAAGTTTGGATGCCTGTCCTTTGCCGCAGCTCGGATATGATTTCCTGATTTCTTCTTCTTCTCTTTTCATGTATGGTATATATTCATGGATTTGCTTCAGAAAGTTTTTCCCTCCTTGGGCTCTTGGCTTTGCTCTTGTGTTTTTTGTTTTTTGCTTTTTTAGTAAATGCTTCCTCATTGCTAGCAGTGAATATTTGTTCTCGGGTAATACTTTGCTTTTTAGCTGGCAAAAGTAAAGAATGAATGAGTAAGGAATGGAAGAGAGTGGTTCCTTACTACCGTGACTAGTTTCTAAATTTTAATCAAATTGAAACTTTCCCTAAAACTTTAATATAGAAATTATATTCCTGATAACACTGTTTTCAATTTTACTTGCAAGTTTGGATTACTTTCTGTTTAAATAATGCTCTGAATGATAAGTACTGCTGATAATTTGGCATTGCTTTTCGTAAAAAGTAAGGCTAAATTTCTTATAAATATATCAAATAAACCATTCATTTTACATTATTACATTATGTTTTACATTATTTTGAAACACTTTCATGACTGGTTACATAAACGTATGTAGAAAAAGCATGTTATCAGATATTTTCTGAATAATTGCACTCTGCTTGTTACAAGCAGGTAGTCCTTGACTTACAATCACAGCTGAGATGGAACCTCAGTCATTGGGTGAGGTGGTCATTAAGTGAGAGATCACAATCTCAGTACTCCTGGTTGCAGAGGTTGAGCAATCTCATGGGTCTTTAAGTGGTTGGAGCTCCAAGTATGCCTTGGTGGGGTAGGGGAGACTATGGCAAGGAACTAAAAATCTTAGCTGAGGAATTAAAAATCCACCCGGCTAAAATCTAAGTACGCTTTTCAGCTCCTGAGTGGAGAGAGACACTTGCACCAAGGATCTTCCTCAGCTGCCCAAGGCACCTTTTACTGTGCTACTTCTCCATTCTCCACTTGGATTTCAGCTCCCTCTTGTCTCTGGGGATGGCTGAAAAAGCTGCCTGCCAAAGCAGGCAACAGCAGCTGGCAGCCTTCCCTGCCAGCTTCTGCATTGACTTTCTGGGGAAATCTGCAGAGAAGGTGGTAAATGATGTTCATCTGATCGTAGGGCACTTGGCAACCCGTCATAAGTGCGAACAGGTTGCCAAACATCCAGACAGTGATCATGTGATATAGAATGGTAGTGCAACATTTTGCAATGGCCAGAAATGTTTTACAAACCATCCCTCATTACAGTCTTGACAGACTATCTTGGTTTAAATGATGGGCTGCTCATTGTAAGATGTTCCATAACCTCAGACTAAATTGCTAAATCTGAGAAACTGTAAGTGTGATCAGTGTTCCGATTGGATCACACATATGCTCCCTTGAGTTCCATGGGGAAAAAAGCAAAGGAGAAATGAATTATTTTCTTTCCGCAGTGATTTCTCCTGCTTTCATTTTATAGGAAGTGCAACAAGAAATAAACCAGCGGTTAACTCTCAGTGACTTCTTAATTAAGCCCATTCAAAGAATAACCAAGTACCAGTTGCTTCTCAAGGTAAAGCACATCAAAAGATAACAAACGTGAGGTATATGAAAAATCCATCTGTGAGTGAAATATAATTAAGAGGCTTTCCTTAGGGGGAGATGGGCAGCTCTGTAAATTGAATAAATAAATAATTAAGTATTATGTTTACATGTTTTAGCCTGCAGTAATAACTAGCCAGTTTGCTCCAGTTTGTGCAAATCAACTTTAATTCTTTTGGTGTTTGCTGGACTGCTTCCTGATGGTATCATGGTGTTGAGCCTGATTGCTATTCCAAGAAGCATGTGTGTACATGCCTGTCTAGATAATCTCACCATCACCCATCAGGTCATCATGATGAATTATTGTTGGAACCAGATATCTAATTACCTAGCTCCACTGGTTTTAGCTGTGTGTGTTTTTTAAAACCACACACATGCACGGATTCATGTAAAAAGTCTTCTATAATTTTAGCAAAGCTTTATGGAGCGAAATGCTACAGTCTTCATCAGGAAGCCTGTTCTGTGTGCCTCTATTGCTCAGGCAAGGTAAAACGTTATTTATGATCAAGCCTTTGCCATCAAGATGGTGGCATCTCTTTTATGGAACTCTTTTTTCTCTTTCTTTCCACATCTTATCCTTAATTTTGGAATTCTAATGGTTCCTAGAAGAATATTAACATTTTTAATAGTAAAAAGTGCAACTTCCAGCCTTCCTTTCGGTTGGCATTAGTTATCTCTTATACAGAAGAAAAGCTATGACCACAGGCAGATTGAGCTATTTCTCTGGCTTGTATTGCACTCTGAGTGTCATAATCTAAACCAAGTATATAACTTCAGTCATAAATTTCTATTAAGTATATAATCAGATGGTATGTACTATGCATAAAATAGGTTTAAGTATAATTCCAGATAATTCTGCAAGAAGACGACAGTCATAGTCATCTTTAAAAGTGCATTAAAATGTTAATTATTTTTAAAGAATGATATTCTTTCCCATAGGATTTCCTGAAATATAGTGAAAAGGCTGGATTGGATTGCTCGGAGACAGAGGTACAGTTTATCTGTCAGCTTTTATTTTATTTAGTGACTGATACTTTAAAAAAAAAAATACTTAGTTATAATGCATTTGGATATTTCTCACTGAAGATTGAATTGCTTCCTTCCACCCACCCTTCCTCCGAGCAAGTGGGCAACAAAGCATGAGTTCATAGCTACCCATCGGTTTCTGAAAATGCCTCTTGAGACCCACTCGTCTTTACATATTTTCCAAAGAAAATGTTATCCAAGCTCTTTAAAAATAATCAGTGGATTTAGATCGGCTGGAAGCTGCCTTTCTTCAAAGGTCGATTTGATGAAGGGGCATCTCTTGACAATATATCCTGATTTCTGATTCTGATCTGTATTCTCTAGCTGGAAGGGTTGCTCAGCGTGTGGTCCTAGCCAGGGGGGGTCCAGACAGCTTTTTATCTGTTCCCATATTTACTCTGCTCCCCTTCTCTTACAGAAAGCTGTGGAGTTGATGTGCCTTGTTCCTAAACGCTGCAATGACATGATGAATCTGGGACGACTGCAGGGCTTTGAGGTAGCCCTCTTTCTTATTCAGTAATGCCAGTTGCTTTTTTTTTCCTGAAGAAATGATTGAGGCTTCTTGGAAACTTTAAGAATGTATAATGGCCTCTTCTCAACACTTCTAGCTATTAGCAGTGGGAATATTAGGAGCTGCCCTCTAGTCCTCTAGAATATATACAGTAGTATTGAAAATATATATAATATATACATTCTTTGAAAATGTTTCTGAGAACAGAGCTCATCTTCTGTTGTCCAAAAGGTGCTTTTTCTGGAAGCAACTGGACTTTCTTGTTTTTTTTCTTTTGAAGATGTTTTGCTTCTCATCCAAGAAGTTTCTTCAGCTCTGAGAGGATGGTGGGGAATGGAAGGATTTCTATTCCTTGCAGGCAGCTGGTCATTTGCATCCTTTTAGAGGGTCGTTGAAGCACTTGGAGGTTTATCTGTGACCTCAGGGTCACCTAGGTCATGCTCCTGGTTCCTGTAGTCCTCAATTCTCCCCCCCCCCCCTCTGGAAATCCGTTCCTACTCCCACACTATTCAGGGATGTTCACCCCCAATTGTATAGCTAAAAGTCTGTAGAGATTCTCAGTCATGGTTGTCCCAAAGGTGCTTTTTCAGGAGGCAGCTGGACTTTCTTGAAGCTTCTTGGACGAGAAGCAAAAGGTCTTCAAAGGGGGGAAAAAAAAGCAGCCTCCTGAAAAAGCACTTTTGGGACAACCGTGATCTGGATGATGAGAATCTCTACAGACGCTCATCCTCTGCTATTAAAGCAGAGCCTATTTTTTTAGGCTTATGAATGCTGAAGTTCCCAGAGTGGGAGGCTGAACGTCGGTAAACTCCCTGATCTCATTTTGCTTTGTGGTAGCAGGTTGTTTGTTCTTATTGCCACCACCTATTGAAGGCATCTCACTTGGTGTCCACCCCTGATTAAAATGAGTCAGAGTTGTCGCAACCTGTCTTACTGGTCTGGTGATTAAGAAATCAAAATGCAAATGCTAAAACAATTTCTATAGTGTCATGTATGTATGTATAGAGATGACTAGGGTATTTCACTCCTTTCTCTCATGCCCATAAGCAATACATCAACCTCGCCATAGATAAACGCACCTTCCAACTTTCTTTTAAAAATGTTTAAATTAAATTGAATGTTAAAATTCAGTGCAGAACATAGCAGCTTGCAGATTGGTTATTTGGGGATTAGGGGAGCTTTATTTCGACACACTGGGAAGATGCCAAGCTAGAGACAGTTGAATTTGTGACTGAACTCCAGGATGATATGGACTAAATTCTTCTTCATCTGATAATATACAAACCCAAATTGATACTACAACTTTCATTTTTGGGGATCACAGTATTAAAGGACTGTTTCTTCCCCTGTGTTCATATTTGTGCTCTGAGATGGTTAGCAGAGATCCTGTCTGAAGGGTCCTTGCCTATAGAAATAGAGTGGGGATCTCTCTCCCACATCTCTGATTAAAGGATGTCCATACTAATGTTTTTTTAGGGTACTCATACTAGAAGCATTTTAAATGGGTGTACATTCTTGTTCTTTAATCTTAAACTGCTTCTATTTCCATGGAAGTTATTAGATCCCTTAGTGATTGTTGTCTGTTACATATAAGCCCCTGTCCCTACTCACTTGAAATATTTTTGTGCTAAATTCATGTGTATGAATGTGTGTTCTATTGGACTGTTGTCATTTTTATTTATAGAAGTTGTCCCGAGGATGAGGTACTGCATAGCAATTAGTAAAATAAATACATTATTTTCCCTGCGTCCATTCAATCTATGTTGACTTCATTATTTTTTTTTCCCACCCATCTTAGGGCAAGCTGGCAGCTCAAGGGAAATTGTTGCAACAGGATACATTCTATGTAACAGAGCAGGACTCTGGAGGGTTGTCTCGGCCCAAAGAGCGCAGAGTTTTCCTCTTTGAGCAAATAGTCATCTTTAGTGAACTACTTAGGAAAGGCTCCTTAACACCTGGGTACCTGTTTAAGAGGAGCATAAAGGTAAGAAATTGATAAAGCCACCAGGTCGATAAGAAGTTTGATTCTTTACATCTTTTTCTGGCCCTTTAGATGAAGGATACAACCCCGGGGCAGGTCGCTTGCCAGGGCAGGCCTTGTGGGGAGTCCTATCTACTTCCCTGCTTACCAACTGACTTAGTGGTGGCTCAGTGGCTAAGACGCTGAGCTTGTCGATCAGAAAGGTCAATAGTTCGGCAGTTCGAATCCCTAACACCATGTAACAGAGTAAGCTCCCATTACTTGTCCCAGCTTTTGCCAACCTAGCAGTTGGCATGTAAAAATGCAAGTAGAAAAATAGGGACCACTTGGGTGGGAAGGAAACAGCATTCTGTGCACCTTCGGTGTTTAGTCATGCCAGACACAAGACCACAGAGATGTTTTCAGACAGCTCTGGCTCTTTGGCTTTGTAATGGAGATGAGCACCGCCCCCTAGAGCCGGAAATGACTAGCACGTATGTGCAAAGGGAACCTTTACCTTACCAACTGACTTCACACTTTTCAGAGACCTTTTTGCTTTGAAAGGCAGCTGCTGCTTTAATCTGTTTCCTTGGGTGAAAGAGAGAGGGAGCCTTCCTCCAGGAAAGAATGGAAATCACCTCCATATTTTGCTCTCATAGCAAAACTAAGCAGTGGTTAGCCTCTCCCACTATATATCAATGGAGACTGTGTGGAAAGAGTTCATAGTTTTCCATTTCAATCGGTTGCTCTCTTTCTTCTTTGGAAGAGATTGCGAAGACCAGACTCCTCTCTAGAGCACTAAAAATCTCCACAGACCATTCTCATCCTGGACATTCATATTTTGATCTGTTACCATCAGGGAGGCGTGATGGGTGTCTTAAAATGAGGACTAATAGATTGAGAAACGGTTTCGTTTCCAAGGCAGTAATTGTCTTGAATCAAACAGTGCATTTGTCATTTTTTTTTATTATTATTATTATTATTATTATTATTATTATTATTATTATTATTATTATTATTATTATTGTTGTTGTTGTTGTTGTTGTTGTTGTTATTATTCTTGTTGTTATTAATTTTTTAATTTTTAAATACTCTGTAGAGTGATTGTGATGTGGTGTTTGGGGCACAGTGCTGGAGTAGCTTTCAAATTTCATTGTATTCATGGAATGCAGTGACAGTAAAGCTATTCTATTCTATTCTGTTCTATTCTAACTTTGGCACTGGATCACAAGTAGCTGCAGGAAGGTCCGTCCTAACTTTGAATAATTGCTAGCTCAGTGGTCATTAAGCAAAGACTACCAGTCTAAGGATTTATGGGGAGAGACCCGGAGGCAAGATAGGCTGGAAATTACTCGCTGTAATTTTTCAACACTCCCTAAGTATAAGGAATTGAGAATGTTGGATTTGCATTGCAGTAGAAGGTAGTGAAATCCTGTAAATCTATGTTACCATTTCAGTTAAAGGAATTAATCAGTGGAACAACTTGCCTCCAGAAGTTGTGAATGCTCCAACACTGGAAGTTTAAAAAAAGATGTTGGATAACCAGTTGTCTGAAGTGATGTAGGGTTTCCTGCCTAGGCAGGGGGTTGGACTAGAAGACCTCCAAGGTCCCTTCCAACTCTGTTATTCTATTCTATTCTATTCTGTTCTAAGTAGTGTTAGCTTTCTTCCATGGGAAGAAAGGGGGGAGGGGTTTCCAGGATCTGCCGTATCAGCAAAGGAGAGTTAAAGGTGGAGAGCCATGCTCTCCCCTAGTTAACAGGCTTCCTGGGGCCAGTGGGAAGTTAGTGATGGGACACGAAAGAGACACAGCAGACAAAGGGGAAAAAAAAACCCCTCTCCTTTTTCACTTCAGAAGGTCAAAAGAATTGGATCATCAGTGCTTTTCTAGTTCTGTGCTTCTAGCATACAGGTGGTCCTCAACTTAGAACAGTTTGTTTAATGATCATTCCAAGTTTCAACAGCACCGAAAAAAGTGACTTATGGCCGATTTTTCACACCCGTGACTTCATTATTTCAACAGCATCCCCGTGGTCATGTGAGCAAAATTTGGATGATTGGCAACTGTCTCACATTTATGACGGTTGCAGTGTCCCTGGGTCGTGTGATCCTCGTTTTTGCGACCTTCTGTCAAGCAAAATCAACGGGGAAGCCAAATTCACTGAACAACCATGTTACTAATTTAACAACTACAGTGATTCATTTAAAGAACTGTGGCAAGAAAAGTCATAAAACGGGGTAAAACTCAGCAACTGACATGTTGGGCTCAATTGTGATTATGAGTTACTTACTTGTCCTGATAACTTCTCCGAAGAGCTTCAGCTAAGGAAACTATAAGAAGTTGTTTTAGTCAGTGTGGTCTTGTTTTGTCTTTGTGCCACATCTTGTATGCTTGCATAGGGAAACCAAAATGAAAATTACTAGTAGATGGAAAAGCAATAGAAGGGTGAACTCTTTGGTATATGTGTAACATGAGCTCTGCATCCCTTTGTACAGGAAAAGCCATTTGACGGGAGGTTTTCTGTAGGGTTTTCCCCTAGTATTTTACTAACTGGATGACTTAAGCAGTATATGGGTCCTTCCCAATGCAACTGTTTAACACCGTTACTTCTCTGTACTTTCTTTGACTGCTTTTATCCAAGTGATTGCAGTTTTTTCTCTTAACATTTTTTTCCTTGCTTGAAAATCAGTTTTGACATATATTGTATACCTTTACTAATGTCCTGGCAGGTTTTTTCAAGCATTATGTCACATCAGCTGAGCTATAAATCTCTTCTTCCAGAGACTCAAACCCAAACAGACTCTTGGCCATTCTTTTCCTAGCTTTGAGACTTGAATGCACCTGCCCCTTATTTAAGCAGTTATTATGTCTAGATCCAAGCAGCACTGGTTCTTGCCTCACCAACTTCATATATTTGAAAAATTCTGTTTTGCACATCTATATAGCGGGGCAATTCTGAATAATCAAACAACTTGATTTTTAACTTTCCCTCTTGACTAATTAATGTTAGAAGATGACCTTCACTCATTCAATTATTTGGAATTTGTCATCCAGTAATCAGTGGTAGGACGGATGTGATTTTTCAGATTCTACCTTGATCCCTCACAGTTAAATTATGTAGGATATAAACATGGTGAATATGAGCCTTACCATTTGAATGGTTCCTCAAGGGGAAAAGAGGCTTCAGAATAGATTTACTATAATTTTTCATTATCACACTGTTGTCTTAGGTAATTTTTCGGTCCAGGCAGCAAGATATAAGAAATTGACCTTATTCCTGCATACAGCTAGAAAAATTAAAAACATATGTTTAAATAATATAAAATCCTATCTGAACGTTTTCAACATGGACTAAAAACTTTAGCCGGCAGAAAAAGTTATCAAAATCACAAGACTGAGCAAATGGCATATCACTGTTGATACTCATATGTATTGGTAAGGTATCTGAAAAGCCATTTCAGACTATATGCAGTTGAAGGGCTACCTTTGAGTCCACTACTACTGTATAGCCAGATTCAGCATGATCCTTTCCATGTCCCCCTGTGCAGTTACTTTTAATTTTTTTTTTTTTCTGGCTACTTGCAGATGACATATCTAATACTTGAGGACAATGTGGACAATGATCCTTGCAAATTTGCTCTCATGAATCGGGAAACATCGGAACGGTTCGTATTGCAGTCTGCCAATCCTGAAATCCAACAAGCTTGGGTACAGGATATCAGTCAAGTACTTGACACCCAGAGGGACTTCTTAAATGGTAGGTATTTTTCTGCTCTGTTGAAATAAAGCCCAAGTATTTTGCAGTTGGCTGTAAAATGCTGATTGAATCTTACTCCAACTTCAACCTGATACCAATTATAGAGCCATCCTCATTATCTGTGTCATCCATACTGAGCTATTGAGGTCTTCACTTTTATATGAAACATGACTAGAAAAAGGCCAAATGCATGTTAAAGAAATATCCTTGTTAGATATACAAAACTAAGTTGAAGCTTAGCAGACTGTTGACACTATTGATATCTTAGTACTAGTGGCATATATTTTATCTTCGATCTTTATGTTAGCACTACTATCTCTAATAGATTGGTTGCATTCACATAGGAATATACTTCCAATATAGGTAAGTCTTAACAATTGATGGATTTATATCTTGGTAACTGCCATCCAGTAAAACAATTTTTTTTAACTCTTCACTGGGCATCAGGTGGGGAGGAAATCAACAGTGACACATGTGTGACAAATCATCATGGGAATCTTGTCATTATGTACTTGCATTCCAATATCTGCCACCAGTACATAAGTTGTGCCATTTACATGATTATATCAATATATACGTCTGGTCATTATGGCTTCCTATGGATGTCACTGAACAATTCAGAAAAGTCAATGGAGAAATAGTGGTTGATCCTTTATTTCAATATTACAGGCAACCCTCTCTTTATTGGGTGATTATTTGCATAGAGTTTAAATAGCCACAAAGTTGTAGAATAGTTCATTTATTCATTTTAACTTCAACCAGGAGTATGTAGGGAAAATGACAGAACTTTTTCATTTCTCATGATAGAAGCCTTCACCCTTATTTCTGGCACATATCTCATCATTCAGTAATAGCATGACATTGATTGATATGATTTCTTGATATGATTTCATTGATATGAAATTATTGAAATGATTTCTTCCTCATTTGGACCCTTCTAAGTTTTACAGAATACTAGTTTAAAATAGTACAACATGCTTTACTTTAATAAGTTTCATGAAGGATTCCAAGTTTCATATTTTATACAATGATACTATTGAACAAACTTAAAGTGTGTCACTATCATGTAAAACAAATTTCTATATATGTTTGTAATTCGGGGTGCATAATTGCCTCTGCTCTTTTGTCCTTTGGGCTGTAAAGCTAGAATATCAGAGAAGCCTGTGGCAACTCTTCATGAGACCTGAAATATCCAAAGCTATAGCGCTGTTTTCTTTGCTCATAGAGTTTTGAAACTTGCTCCTTCCTCTTCCTAATGAAAAGGTTTCAGATTTCCAACTCTTTTTAAACTAACGACTGACTAGCTTTCAGTTGTATTTGTGATACTATTTTTAAAAATATTTTAGGGAAATTGTATGCGGTAGACCTATCCTGGAAACTAGGAATATAAATTTTGTTTTGTTTTCTTTTGAGGAAAAAAAACGGAAAATTCTGCCACTGGTTTTCAGTGATTTACAAAGGTCATTTGTGACCTATTCTTGCTTCATGATGTGATAGATGGGGAGGCCTGCTGTAACGTTTCATATTCTGTTGTAGCATTACAGTCTCCAATAGAGTATCAGCGGAAAGAAAGCAGCAGCACAGCTGTAATGAGGCCCCAGACCAGCCGGGCACCTCAGCCCATCACCAGACCCTATTCCTCAGGACCTGTAGGACCTGATAAAACTTCAAAGGTTACAATGCGCAATCCATCGCTTCCACCTCTGAAGATATCTACCTCCAATGGTAACACAGGGCATGAACAGCACCAGCCTGAGGACAGATATGAACAGAGCAAGGTAGTGGAACCACGTCCATTCTAAATTTGGCTACCTGTTGATCTGGTTGGTGGAGGAAGAAGCTGAGACACAATAAACCATTGTTTTTTGAAGAATCCATATTTGCTTGTACAATTCACCAATCCGTATGACAAATTACAATAGTTGACTTCACATAGCAGAGTATTCCAAACCAAAGTCAACAAAATTTATTACGTAAACCAGGCTGTACAGTAAATATATAATACATGCTCTGTGTATTCATTAAATTAAAAATATGCAAGTTTTTTTTATCATAGTGAAGATATGGAGGGATGTTAAGGAAAGACTTAACATCCCGCTGTATGAAGAATGAAGGAAAACTGCTAAAAAGCAAGCAATCTACCTGTTGGCAAACATTAGGCATTAATCATTAAACAAATGTTTATTCATGCCTTTACACTTTTTTGGCTGCCTCTTTTGAAGAAGTGGTATAAGGAAAGGTGGCCTTTTGACCAACCACCCATTTTCCCTTCAAAATTATTGTCCTCTTCTGTGAATCTCTAGACATGAATTTAAGCAACAAGCTGTTGGGAATTCATGCACTTTGCCTCCCAAAGTGCCAGAGCAGATGAGAATTTCAGCTTTGATCAACTGAAAAGATTAATAAATAAGGGACATGAAACATAATAGCTTAAATGTTCAAGCCAACATTGTATTGTGCTTTGCTTTAGATTTTGCCTCATCTGATTTGCTTGAATTGCAAGGATAAAAATGTAGACTTAGTTCTACTCAATATTGGCACTCAGTAATCTTTCCTTTGTGTCCTAGATAATACCGGTACTTGAATGGTTTCCAGGCAATTAAAAAACAAACAAGCTTTGGACCTCTTTTTATTAGCAACATATGCTCAGATTCAAATTTGAGATTTGAGAATACAATATTGCTTTCATACTGGGCCTTTATTTCTGAAATTACTACTATATAGTTCGATGTTAGTGGTCCAAGCAAAATTGTATCGATTCTGTTAATTTTAGTGGGTTTTGTATTCCCCTTTTGTTTTTTTGTTTTTTTCAGTCTGATTTGTGGCACTCTTAAGGCCCTAAAAGAATTAATGCGTCAGTACCTTATCTTGTATCAGTGGATAAAATACTGCTTCAGTATTTAAGGGGTGATTTGTCTAGCCTATTAGTTGCCTTTTTGCTGGAAGGCAAGAGGTACAAGAGGACAGTGATGAAAAGTTAACATTATGCCAGAGTTATCTTCTTGTTGGTGTTCTCTCTGTTTCCTCTTCAGAATGACTTGGGTGGGTGCAATGGAACCTCTTCTATGGTGGTCATCAAAGATTACTATGCATTAAAGGAGAATGAGATCTGTGTCAACCAGGGTGAAGTGGTCCAAGTACTTGCCATTAACCAGCAGAACATGTTCCTTGTATACCAGCCTGCCAATGACCACTCACCAGCAGCAGAAGGATGGATCCCAGGAAATATCTTGGCTCCCCTCACTAAATCAACTACAGATAGTAGCGACGGAAGCATAAAGTAAGTGCTGTGTTGGATTCCCAGGGAGCAGTATGTGGATTTTTGAGGAAAAGTTAAACACAAATGGTAGGATTTTCCTACTGTTTCCTTAGATCTTCAGTGCCATTGGAACAAACTGTGCTTGATAACACAGCATGGGGTATTCATCTTGGGATAATTGGGGGGTTTTTTGTGTGTGTTTTTCCCCTTATAATTTATAAAATATTAAAATCCATAGACAGTTTAAAAAACATGGTTTATGTTCTCCATCTTTTCCTAATCATGGACCTAATTGACTGGATTTCTATTTATCTTGTGTTTAAATAACATGTGTGTGTATGTGTGTAGAACCATACACACATATGTGAATGTGAAAGGGTGTGTGTGTATATATGTGTGTGAGAGAAACAAACAAAACAAACATTGCTCTCCTCTACTGGCTTGAGTCCTGCTTCTCAAGGAAGAGATTTTATGTTGTCTATGGCAATTTCTTGTACAGTTTGTAACATTTTCATTTTGTTTTGTTTTTTCTGTTCGCATATTTTGTATAAAAAAATTTTTTTGTTTGATAAATCCCTTTTGCAGTACATTCCTGTAAAAAGTATTTTGCACTATTTAAAAAAAAATCCCATATTTGAAGTCAGATTGTGCAATATTATGGATAGTCGCAATGTTCATCATTGTACCTGTAATGTAACTAATAATTTTAAATGTACTATTTTAAATATGTAAAATAAATTTTCACTATGAGCATGTTTTGAGAAGATTATAAAAGGACCAATTTCTGACCCTCTTTAGTTCTTTTTTTCTTTCTATGTTTTGTTCCTAATTTAATGAAATGTGAAATACTCTTTCCAATTTTTTTGTCATTTTGTTAATTTGAAATGACTAAATGCAAGAAAATGTTTTTTTTGATATTAAATACAAAAGGTACAATCCTTTTCCATAAAAAACTGTTGTTGTTTTTTTACACCTGCAGTTGTCAAACCAGTATCAGTTTTCTCACACAAAGTCACCAAAACTTGATTTTGCCAGTGGTAAATATTTCAATATTGTGGTTTAAATGCTGAAATACTATAACGTGTTCCTTGCCACAAATCACTAAGCCTGGTTCTGATGCTGTCATCCCAAGAGCTATACTATTAATTATAATAGGGACAAAACCATACCAATTGCAGATATGCCCTTAGCCATTGTTTACTCTTGCTTTTTCATAGATACTAACCAAGTTCAACTCCAAACAGGATTTCTCTTTCAACTCAGGACGAAATTTGATAAGAAGGAAGAATCAGTGATATCCATGATTAAAAACCAAGAAGAAAAAGAAAATGTGCCTTTGAAGCAAGGCCTAATCATTTATGTATAAATGCTTAATAATGTGTTAATGAGAGTGGTCTGACAGTGGCAGAATTATATGGTCTAGTCAATCTGCACATCCCATGAGCATAGCTAGAAATTGGCAGCGTGTGAAGTACTTGGCCCTCCCGTTCATAGGATAATGCTGAAGAATCACCGAAGTGATCATTGGGGAACCTCTGAGGTGGAGTCTTGCCAATTGTGTGTAATTAGACTTGAACTGACAGCTGCTTAAATCTCAGTAACAGCCCAATAAATAGAGTTCCTGAGAATGGTAAGATGTGGCGCTAATTGCTCCCATAAGTTAGTCTGTTTAGGACCGCTTCATATATGATAGCAACTGACTTAAAAATGCTACTCCTGCACAGCGGTGGCTTCCTCTAAGCCCCTTAATGTCTTGCTATAGAGAAAATGGCGTCATTTTTTACAGCAGCAACTTTTCAGGAATAAAACTGCTCTGCTATGATGAGACAAACACCAAAGCTTTGAAAATAAAGCATGACCTACCAGGCAGACATAATAAATACCAAAGATGGTGAAATAAGAGATGAGTGTGAAATGCAATGAGACTCATGCTAGGGAACAAATACACAGAGAAGGCAAACACACACACACACACACACACACAAAGTGAAACAAAAATAAATGACGGTGTAAGGAAATTTGTCAGTGTAAAAATTAAGGCTATTGATACAGGCTTTGGTAGAAGGCTATACCAAACCTGAATTCAAATATTGCTCAAATGTCTTGGATTATGGAGATTTTTTTCAGTTAATATTTTTTTAAAAGCCCATGAAATTACTTGCAGCTTTGCACATGTCATTTATAGCTATTAGATGAAGATTTCATATTATTGTAGAATGGTGAAAGGGCAATGAAATCATGTAATGTTTTGTGCATCCTGTTTCAGAGATGGGCCTTATCTGAATGTATACTAGAAATTGAGAATCTTTGCCTCCTTGTTACTATTGCAAATTTAAACAGAAAGAGTATCTTAAGCAAAGGTTCTAGACCCATCTAATTTCGCCTGTTTTACTTTCTTTAATAATACTTTCATTCTTCCCGCTGGACTTTTGTACTTAGATGGATATTGAACTCAGCTGTAATCTTGAAATATTTTTATGAGATCTATTATCAAAAGCCCTCCTCAAATACTTTTAGTACACACGTTAACTGCATATTATAAGAACAGGCTCATAGTCCTAGTTATATATATTGCATTTACAGACCTGCTGCTGGAAAAGCAAGAGAAAAGAGAGAATTACACAACTCCATTCATTCAGTGAATGTACCTATTGAAAATGCAAAAAAAAAGTCTAAACTTTTTTAGAGTAAATACCACAAGATATAAATCCATCCATACATACTGCTTGTTCAATAAGAATCCAAAAAGCTGCTTAAGAGACATTTCTTAAAGCCCCAACACAACCTACAAGTATTCATTCACATGAACTAAAGGAGGATACAGGAGAAAAGCCTAGTCAGACTTACAAGATTCTGTTATTATAGCCAATTATTAATAAAAGTAGCTTTGGCCTTCATGTGGAGTTGATTTGTGATTGGTTTGTTCCACATTGTGGGGCTGACAGTGGAGTACTCTAATTATATATAATTGATTTAAGATTAGATTTCATTCTTGCCGTGACTCTGCTTCTTAGAAATACAGGACCCACTCAGCACACCATTTGAAAACTTAGTGCAGCCTTTGACCTAAACATGGTTGTGTTATGTTGCAAGATTGGAACAATCCTCATATGGTCATTCATTTTCACTAGAGGTGCTATTAAATAGCTGAAAAAGATGTTTTTAATTCATGTACATTTGTATACTGTTCTAATCATAGATCCTAGGTGCATATGCATAGCATTTACTGCCTACTATTTTGCATGCTTGCTGCTATAGTATTACACTGTTGCTCTTGTGACAATTGTAATACGCCATGCAGAATCACCTATTTGTATAGTATGCCATTCTAATCCTGCATGAAGAAGGCACAATAGCGGGCTACTTAACCTTTTGTTTAAGTATTTCTTTTCATTTCAGTGCACTTCTCAAACCTACAAATATATTTGGAATTTGAAGAATATAATTTCTGCTAAAAATTAAAACCCTACATATAAATATATACTTTCATATATTGTTTTGATGAACTAAATTCTATATTTTTCCACTTTGCCTTTCATATTGTTTTCTCTCTTATACTTCCACATCCCAAAGAAAAGCTTCCTACTGGTGTCACACCACTTTATTCTTACCATCGCACAATATGAACGTAGCCAATTTAATTATGTCTTATTTAGAAGGAGTTTTTTGTTGTTGTTGTTTGGCAAAACATTATTGACATTGGACTGATCAAATGCAGGTGGGAGTAAAACTCTAGGAAAGTTAAGCATAATGAAGGTTGCGCCAGGAAATAGCTAATTCTGTTAATAAAATTGCAATTGAACTTCTGATGTTTTGGAATGTGGCACTGAACTCTGGAATATGGAACTATTTGTCCATATTGGGAGACACAGACTTCTCTTTCTATTCCAATACTTCTTATTTGTATTTGTATCTAATACTAAATCTTTGCATGTTACCAGTCTTAACTATACAGTTTGCTTTTCATCTGTATTTTAAAGATAATGTTTGGGCTCCAACAGGAATAACAACTGTATTAGAATAGTTTGAATTTCAGGTTTGAATATGTATATCCAAGTAGAGATATTGCAGGTGGCTTCCAACTCCCTGGGAAGAGCTGCAGAGATTCAGAACATGTATGTTCCTTGCCTTTCCACATCCCTTCCTCTTCCTACTAAGACCTGCTATTTGATTAGTGCATTTTTTGGTATAACAGGAAGTCATGTTCATGGCATACCCTGCGCATGAGAAAGCGGGCGGAAAAGGAAAGCAGTGGCAAAACGGAAGCCAATGGCCTACGTAAACCCAAGGATATTCTGGGCAACAAAGTCTCTGTTAAAGTGAGTAAGGCCATCTGAAGCTGTTCGCTGCCTACTGCTTCTCATCCTCACTCCCCCTGCAACATCCTCTCTGTGGACAGGGGGTGACATCTGGCTTTTGTTTTTTTTGTTTTTGTTTTTCCTTGTTTTGCTTTTATTTTTAATTTCTTTTACTTTTTGGTAGTAGTAGCCATTCTGGCCGGCGTTTGCATGCAGGATTACAGCACAGCTTTTTTCTCTCCTCACCACTGGCATCCAAAACTGTAAGTAGAGCGAATGTCTGTGTGTGCTCGTATGCGTGTGTGCATGCATGTATATGTGCCTAGACGGCGAGTAGTACTTTACTTTCAGTAGGTTTTTTTTTTTTAATAGCATCCCAAATATACGTGTGGTAAAAGTTCACAAGAGTTGAATAGATCCAAAGCATGCAGCCTAAACAGGAACTATTGTAAATACGTTCTCACCATTTTTTTAAAAAATAAGAGATAAGAAAACTTGAGGAATGGTAAGCCATGGCAATGCAGTACAGGAAAATGATTTTGTAGGGCTCCTTTGTTTGCCTAAGGTCTTATATGGCATTATAGTCTTTCAGGCCTTACACAACTGCTCATCTTGGAGAAGCTACTATAGCATTCTTAACACAGTTTTTGCTTTCTAAGAATTGGGAGATGAGAAAGAAAAGTTGCGTGTTTCTCCTATTTTTCGACTCTGAGCTGGATATGCAATGTTCCAGTTTTTTCTCCTGACTTTGGCATGACACACCCGGAATTTTTATCTCCTTTGTAGAAAGAATTCAAATAACTTCCCACTTATATCCCAGATAGGTAGGTAAGTAGGTAGATAATAGATAGATAGATAGATAGATAGATAGATAGATAGATAGATAGATAGATAGATAGA